ATCTAGGAGGTTTCTTTCCATAGATGTCTGAACTTGAATGTGTGGGTTTTCTTTATCTTTATTTAATATTCTGTAATATATTCCTATTTCCATCAGATAGAAATGCGACTTGTGCCTGGAAAATAGAACAGTAATGAAGAGTTGTCTTCCCTCGGGTACCTGTGGCCTCCCTTGCCATCTGTCTGCAATGTGGCAGGACCTGGGGCTCGTTCCTCACTGGGATCCCATGGAGGAGTCAGTTTCTGTGGAGTCCTGACAACAGTAACATCTCCAGCACTTAAAAGAAATGTCAGAGGCTCTGTAAGGGTTCGAACTGAGGAGTGCTCATAAGCTGTATGCTGTGTTTTTATCTAAGGTGACTTTTCCCACATTACTCAAAGGCATTGGTTGCCTATCTCACCCCATCTCTCTGTTGATGCAAGCTCTTTATCTTGCGCTTAACCTTCTACCTTCATCCCTAAAAGCCCTCGAGTTGGGCTCTTGGTGGCTCCAGCCAGGGGGCTGCCTGAAATCAGGCACATCTTCACCTCACCCTGCCAAAGAAGAGGAGATGCCAAGTGGAAATGAATCCATCTCCTCACCTCTGTCTGCTCCTCAGCGGAGATGGGGCTGAGCCCAGCTGTGCCTTCCCTGTTGAACATTAACCGTATCCCTGCCTGCGTGCGTGCGGAGGGGGGACCAGGGTCCAGCTGACAGCACTGACAAAGAGCTGGCAGGGCTGAAAGATTCAATTTAACTTGGTTTCTCCTCCCCCGTTTCCATATGCGAGGGGGGGGACGGGGGGACGACACAGCACTGTTCCTGCTTTTGAAACTTGCGGTGCAAAGGAGCATTGGTGTCCTCATTTTCCTTCCTCCCTATTGATGTATCATTGCCAGGATGAAAAAGGACGTCTCAAGAGCTTTTGAAAAAATGGGTGACTACTCAAGACATTTTATAAAGGAGGAAGAATGGGGAAGAAAATAGGACTCGGTAGGGGGTAGAAGGAGCCTGAATGTGTGCCTTGTCTGTCTATTCTTTTGCTTGAAACCTGGAGCTGTTGTTCCTATTTCAGTTCAAACTGTCACCTTTAGTTCATGATGGCTTTACTGCCCTTGCTCCTGAACCTCAACAGATTGGGGCTTATTTACCTATTCACACTCTGCTGTGGAACCTCATTAATAGGCTTATTAGCCACACCATTCACGTGCAGGGGGGCTCACAGAAAAGATCCCAGCCACTTTGAGAGGAGGAGGAAAAAACTGTAAAGAGATTATGCTCTCATTCAGCCGCCTAACTGCTATGAAAGGCTCCCTGGGCCCACTGAGATCTCTTGAAGCCTAAATATGATGACAGAATTGATCCCCCCTCTACTCCCCCCTTTTAATTCCAAACATGCTTCTGCTTTTCTCAGATGGAGGAGCTGGGCTGTTGTGGGCCACTTTAGGAGAATGTGGCTCATTTAAGAGAAAAGGCTGCTATTGATAGACTGCTATCTTTTCATCCCCAGAAAGAATAAATTCTGACAAGTGCTTCCAGACATTGGGAATAGGTGTTCTGGCTTGTCATTTTTAGTGGAATGCTTCCTTCTCTTTCAGAGCATGCAAAGATATTGATGAATGGGGAAAGGTATCGCAGCTTCCTGTGCTGGACAATAATTTATGTGAGAATGCGTTAACAATGTTTTCAATGGGCAGTGGACATGCCGGAGCTGGGAAACTTGCATCTTGCCTGTGACATCTCAGCTTCTCAATTAGAACATTCACATGCCTGTTGCTTTAGGAACAACACCAGGAAAAAACAATTAAACCTGTGTTTCTAATCAATTACAAATTTGTCTGATGTCCCCCATAGAGCCTGAATTACTGCTGGTGATGGTGGGAAAGTACTTGCTGGGAGGTAAGTATATGCTCCAGGGAAAACTTGCTTTTGGTATCTGGAAGCATGTAAATAGGGAGTCACACTATGCCATGCAGCCACAGTCCTTGAAACCCCCCTTGGATCAATATTGCACACAGCGTATAAAATGTACAGTAGGGCTATGCTTAAATAAAGTAGCTTTAAATTGATGAACACTGATTTAATTTGAGGCAACCACCGCTTATTGATTTTGTTGTCAAGCTGACTCTCCAAAGCAAGCATTACATGGGCTCTGTATTAACAACCTTTTAGCTAATGGTATCTAAAGCAAATGTTTTATTAGGCACGTATCAGGTTAAGCTGAATTTTGAACGCTGGTTTAATGCAGTTTTAAATCTGTTTGTGCAGGCGGATGATATTTGCGCAGCTATTGGACAACTTCCCCTGTTTGGGCACTATTAGTAAAGGTGCTCTGTGAGACACATTCACCAGGTGGTTGAAATCAGGCTTTGCACTGAAAGGCTCCTTAAACGGAGCGCGGTTGTTCTAGCGGGTGCTATGTGCTCATCCCCTCAGCTAACAGGCCACAGGCCAGGCAGGGCTTCTGAGCCAAAAGAGCTCCCGGAGAGGTTTCTTGGGGGGAAGCCGTAGAGCTGGGACCACTTTTGCATGAGGATGCCGATGCCGCCCCACCTTGCGCCCGGGCAGCATCAAGCACCGGGCAGCACTCTCCCCATCCTTCCTTTCCGAACTTTGAGCGGGGCAACACTGTGCGGGATTCCTCCCGCCCCACGGCAGGGGTTTGGAACTGGATGAGCTTTAAGGTCCCTTCCAGCCCAAACCGCTGGGATTCCTGCTCCCTTCCTGCCCCTGTGTTACCCCTCTTCCCCCGCGGTTCCCCCGCCGGGGGCAGCAGACCCGGTCCCCGCTGGGGTAGCGGCGGAGCGGAGCGGGGCCGTGCGGTGCCGGGCAGCGGGGGAAGAGGCTCCGGCGGCGCCTCCGCCGCGATTGGCAGAGCCGAGCAGCGCCGTCCAGGAAACGGCTCGGGTTGCAGCGGGGGGAGTGACCAGGGGAGGGAGGAAGGGAGCAGGAGGAGTGCGCCGGGAGAGAGGGGAAGGGGAAGAGAAGGAGGGGGGGGAAGAGAGGAAAAAAAAGCCCCACCAAAACCCCAAACCAACCCAAACCACCACCCACCCGAGGGGGGCTGTCGGCTTGACAAAGCTGCGGGCGGCTGGATGGAGCGGAGCGGGACCCGCAGCGATGCCCGCACGGGGGAGGAGGCTGCTGGCGCCGGGCACGGCGGGCTCGCCCCTCTGAGGCGGTAGCCGCTGCAGCCGAGCGAAGGGACGGGACGGGACCGGGCGCCGAGCCGGCTCCTGCCTCGCCTCCCTCCTACCGCGTCCCGCGGGGGATGCGCCCCGCTGCGCTGCTGCGGGTTTGCCAGCCGGGGCTGCCCGCGGAGTGACCGCGGCTGCGGAGGAGTTCTGCCCGTCCCCGGAGGAGCTCCTGCCCGCCGCGGGGACCCGCAGCCCGGCACCGCGCCTCAGCCCGCCTGTTGCGGGCGACCGGACCCTTCCCGCGAAGCTTCCTCGCTGCAGGTAATGGCACCGAGCGGGATGGGGCAGGGGGGGGGAAGGCGCAGCCACCCTGTAAGGTGGCGGAGGGCAGCGCTCGGGGCTGCCGGTGCGGGGTCCCGCAGCTGGTGCACGCCGGCTCAGGGGCGCTCTGTGCCCGTGCGGGGCTTGGGATGCGGCGGGGGGCTCCGTTCGCTCCGTGCTCCCCGTTCTGTCACTTGATGGTCTCTGTGGGGCTGTGTGTGTGTGTGTGGGGAAGCCTGAGGTATCTTTGTGACCGGTGTCCAACGGTGACAGCGGGGATGAGGAGAGGGAGGCTCAGCGTCCGGGGAGCATCCCCCGATTCGGAACGCGACCGCCTGGACCGGCCGCCCGCCTGGACCCGGCGCCGCCGGAGCGGGGGGTCCTGCCCGCCGCGGGGCTGGGGAGGGGGTGCCCGGGGTAAAGCGGGGGAGAAATCCGCGATGAAATACATATTTAAATGCAAAACGTCCCGTTCAAACAGGCACCCATTATGCGTTCGGTGTGAAACGCTATCAACATTTAAAACTTCATTGTCTCCTTTGTACCAAATCCCTGTAAATCTTCCACTAGCCTTTACTCATTTTCATCTGAAAAGCCTGTTTGGGCTGAATAGACAGCAATCAGCAGCCTCGGGACTTCTCTCTCTCTCTGGAATGTCAATTAAAATGCAGATTTTTTTTCTTTTTCTCTCCCCCTGATCTTTTGGTGGCAAAAGACTTGAGAAAACCGGGATAGTCCTGGAAAGCGAATGAAAGAAGTTCGAACAATGCAAAAGTACTGAAGCTGCCAGCCGGTTCCCATTAGTCCTCCAGAATTAATGTTTAATAGCTGGGATGCTCAGATTTGCTTGGAGATTGAACTGCGATGTAGTCTTGTTAGTTACGTATCTGTGTATATATGTTTATAGACGCGTGTGAGTATATGTGTATGTGTATATAAAGCTGTTAGCTCCAAAGCTGCACGTACCTGGGTTTTTCGGATGAAGCTACTGGGCTTTTAGGGCGCTGGAGATTTCTTTGTGGAGGGAAGAGCCGTATTTCATTCAGAGTTTGCTATTCCCTGCCTAATAGAGAGAGATGCTGAAGGGCTGTACAGCGAGCAGTGTATTGATTCGGTTAACATACTCTACAAATTGTGCTCTCCCCGGGGAGTGATAAACATCTTATAAACAACAATGGAAGTAGATTAAAAAGAACACTGAGCATTGAATTTAATTAATGCCACTGCTGAACAAGTACTACTTGTTTGTGTGTGTGAGTGCGTTTAAGCTGAAGTGCAGCTTGGAGGAATTTGGTTGGGCTCCCAAACCAGTCTGCTTTCCCATGCTTGTCAGTTTGGCAAAGAAATTTGGGCAGGTATGTGACGAGGTGAAAATTGACTTGATGAGCGAGTGGCAAGGAGAGCCATCAATCATTGGAGCCTGACAACTCCTCCCCAAAGTGTAGGCTGAGAAGAGAGACAGAGTTCCCTTTCAAGGGGAAAAATAAACACTACGTGTGGCTTTCACTGAGTCTGAGACTCCAGGAGGGATTATGGTATTGTAGTCAGGAAGCCAGGATTGTGGAGGCCAAAAAGCATGCTGGGGCTGTGTTCCAAACATTGAGATAGAGGTACATAATTATCCAGCACAGGAGGTCTTTCCAGAGGCTCGTCCCCCAGCAACTGTGGCGATTAAGCTATGAAAAGAATTTGGTTTCATTTCATCTTCGTTGGACTCGGCGTCTTTTGGCAAAGGGCAACCCTCGAACCCCGATCGCTGTTGTGGTGGTGGTAGAGAGTGGTTTGGCTTCACGGATGGGTCCAGAGCTCTGATCTGTTCCTTGTTGTGCCTTTGCAAGCCATGGGTTTGAATTCTGTGGTGCCCCGTGAGTGAAGAGCCCCTTCGTTCTGCTGGCAGATGTTCAGCTGCAGAAGCAAGTATCTACAGGTGAGAAGATGCATGGTCAGGTAGCCTTGTGGGCACTTCAGGATTTAGGGTGAGGATAGGAGCCACAGACATGCTTTCAGTGGTGTTTAATGTAGCTTAAAAATCGAAACCAGCTGAGATGTAAGTGGAATTAATGCTGTTGGAGTCTGGAATACAGGCTAGCAGTCTGGTATGTTTTCTTTTTGCAAAACTGTGATTTTCTCATTTATATACATTGCCATTAATTGGAATTTACAGGATGATTTATGGCAATTAAATCAGCATTACATCCAGCCTGTTCATTAGGGTTCCTACCCACTTTACAGCTGGATAAACTGAGCTACAGAGCCGTGGTTGTGGGTCTGGTGGTCGGGTGGTTGACCGGGGTGGCAGCATCCAGGAGGGCTTGATCCGATCCCTTCCCAGATGCAGTCCAGTCCCAGAGACAGAGCTCTCTTCAGTTCTCCACCTGCTCAGTGCTTATTTAAAGAAGAGCTGGGCAAGCTCTTTGCAAATGTTTATGCAGTGGTCTGGTGGTGTTTTCACTGGAGGTTTAATAGTAGTTGCTAGCTTGTGGTGTGGGATGCTCACCTTATGCTTGAATCCCTAAAGGAGGGACAGAGCTTTTTGCTGATACCAGCTGAGGGGGGGAAGAGCTTGCCCTGAAGTACCAGGGATTCACCTGAAATAGCGTGTGTTAATTCTTTTCCCCAAGTGCCTTATTTATGTCATCTAAAATCTGTTCCTACTAATTCCAGATGTGACTGTATCTAGTAGCCAAGATAAAAGATGCCTCGACAGCATTTCTCTCCTTAGCTCTGTGAACTTGGTTTGTACACAGCAGGTAGCAAAAGGCTAATAAAATCTGAAAACACTTTTTAATGGTTGGCCTTATAAAGGGAGAATATTTGGCTGTGTTTCTGTGTACTGTATGCTGAGATACCATACCACATCCAAATGGCTTGGAGTTCTGGGAAGTTGCCTTTATCTTTGCACTCCTTGCCTTTTTAAGGGTGAAAGCAGGAGGGGAAAAAGAGGTTTTATGTTATTTCCCCCCTTCAAGACAAGTGCACTCGAATCTTCAGTTGGGTTTGGTCACATCTAAGGTGAATCATTGGCCAGGTTGTATTATCCATTGACTAAGGTTTACCATCTTTTATTTTTGAAGTGGAAAATCAGGTCTAATTTTCTGGTTGAGCTGTTAAATCACCCTGTGAGGATGTTCTTCTGACCCTCACCTGGCATCTTCCTGTGGTGGCAACAGGGTCCCATTAAGGGAGTAGTGGTTACTTTGGTACCACTTCCCTTTTCCATCAGCCCATGCCTGGATTACCAGCTAACTCCATCTGTTTAGATTAGTTTTACAGTGAATAAAATACTTATTTTTTTATCTTATCTGAAAAAATACAGATCAATAACCATTGTTGAGAGAGAAGAGAAATGTGTGTGCACACAATGTAGCATACATGAATGGAAAATGATGCTGGGGAGGTCTCCTGTGGAACTGCAGCCTGTACCATCCTTTATAAGGGTTTTAATTGCCTGTAATGGCACGTAGCTAACCAGTATCCCCACAAAGACTGGAGCCTTCCACCTGTACAGGACTCTCAGGCTTTAGAAGGACACTGAGTCAGAAGAAGGTCCATCCATAGGGGAGCTGGAAGTCAAATACAGTTGGAAGGAAGGTGGAATACAGTTGGAGCTGGAAGGTGAAATAGAGTTTTCCAGATTATCCAAGTCTAAAGAAGTGTTTTTCAACTGGTTGTGCTTTTTTTTTTTTCCTTGTGGAAAATTACTGAGTTCTTGCAACTTCAGCTGGCTGCAGAGCTGCCTAGGTGAAGGAATGAAAACCAAGGCAAACTTACATAAACCTTCAAACAATAACACGAATATAATTTGTATAATTGTGGTAATTTTGTAGCATTACAGGTTATGTGCCTGCACATGTGTGCGCCTCTCGGTTTGCTTTAAAACCTGTATATTTTTCTGTCAGTAAAATAGCCCTCTAAATATGTGCTGAGAAGTGATTTTGTGAAAACAAGGAGGACTTGGTTACGCCTCAGGTGATGATGGAAGCTGCTAACAGAAAATGAAAAGTCACTCACTTTTCACATATTCTTGAAGCTGGAAAACTGTTTTTCCCATCCTCCTCCTCCCTTCCTTCTCCCCTCAGCTCTGCTCGGGGCTTTCTGAAGCTTTTGGGTTTGTGCTTGAAGATGTTTTTGCTGACAGTGTTAAATCTCTCTTCTCCCCACAGCAGCAGCAGCCGTCGTTCCAAGGGAGGAGTGGAGGTATTACCCTGGCTGAAGGCACTGCTTTCTCTCCATGCTTCTTTAGAGGTGTTCAGATGGGATTAAAGTCCACATGGAGATATGGAAATGGACCAGGAATTTACTCTAAAAAGATGGTCAGCTGGGATTCGGGTTGCCTTATCTGCCTGGTGGTGGTCACCATGGCTGGACTTTCCCTGGCTAGACCTTCGTTTAATTTAGTTGTTGAAGACACCACGCTGGAACCTGAAGGTAAATCACTCTTCAGTCCTTGATTCTGCAAAATAAGTTAATTCTAAGTGTCTGGATGTCTGAAATAAAAGTCAACATCTTTATGTGCTTTGATAAATCTAAGGCAAGTAACAGATTAGCCCTCAAGAGTTATGTTTTTTGTCTTATCCTGCTCACACATGGGCTGTGTTCATGCAAGCGTTCGTTTGTTTAATCTTATGCAAGCGAGCGGTGTCAGTGATTTCACTTGGGACTGTCATCACGTTGTATAATCAAAGCGTACGGCTGCAAGTTTTCAGGAACGGGTCTGTAAGGAAACCAGGCTGTTGCACTTGCATACGTGTTACGTGTTGCTGTCTCAAGGAATGGAATGGCTGCATGGCTGCATGTCGTTGTGGTTGCCTTAACCTGAGAAGTTCAGAGAGAATAAATGCCAAGAGCTTTTCAGTCCCGAGGCCTGAATGTTCAGTATTGCCGGGCACTCTGCAAGTGTGGTGTTGCGGCTTTATTAGTGTTTGTACTTTGAATGCATTCCCCCGTTGCTGTTAATATCCAAGAACAACCGGTACAGTGTCTGCATTGCAAGTTCTGGAAGTGTAAATGCTGAGATTTGAAGAGCAAGGACTGCAGTTTATTGCTGGGAAAGACCTTTTTACGTTGAAAGAGGTGTTTTGATAAAATCTCCTACTTTGAGCCGGCACCTGTTGATACGTTCTTCTAGGTATATCCCTTCCTCAAGCTTTGCAAAGTACTTTTCTTCTCCAACGAGCTAAGGAGGGGCTGCTTTTTTATTGTCGTGAGCTGATTGTGTTTAAGGATGATTTTACTGGATTGTGTGGGATCCTTCCTGCTCTCTGAGCACCTTAGGGGGAAAGGGAGGCTTCCTTCATAAGGTTTCATCTGTCCTTTGGAGGAGTGATTACACTTCTAATAACTCAACTGTCAGCCTAGTATAATACTCCACAGAGCATTTGTGACCCAGCAAGCTTGCTGGAAAGAATTTGGCCTTTACACATTCTACTACTCATGTCCACGGATACGGCTGTGTTTTTATTTAATACATTTTCATGCAAAACTTATTTGTTTCTATCCACTGCCTCTAAAAATAGACGTCACCAGCTAACACATATTTAGAGTCTGTTCCAAGTACATTTTTATTGATGGCAGGGGATGAACTATTTAGAGACGAGGAGCTCTCCTCCCTAGCAAGTGTTCCTTAACGGAGTATAGCAATATTGTCATCTGTCAGCCATAGAGATTGCTGATAGCAAAGATGTTTTATTTTCCTTTCGAAGGTAACTTGATAATTAAGTGAATAAAGCCCAGCTCTCCTCACCGCTCACTGTATGGTTTGTTAATTGCACATCTGGTGCCTTTTTGGCTTTACAAAGGAATGACAAAAGCATGAATAATTCTGGTTGCAGTCTTGCTGTTTGTAGTGAGGTTCCCTAGTTTTAGGGTTAAATCAGAAAGAATGCGGTTGCAGGATTGGTGGGGTGTTTTATGGGGAGAAGAGTAATATTTTCTGTATGATGCCTACTAATTTTTCAGCTCTTCAGGGGAAGAATAGCTTCTATTATTTTTAAACAGCACAGTTTAAAACCGTGTTTCTTCCACAGTAAATATCCAGGGGGTAAAACCTGGGTTTTATCAAAGAGTAAATTGTTAAAAAGGATTTAAAACGTCTTCCCTGGGCAGGAATGTTACCGACATGAAACAATTTTAGATGTGAGAACCTGAACCATTACCAGAAATAAGAAAAGGGAAAAACCAAACCAAAGACCCAACAAAAAAAATGCCTTGAAGTTAATGGTATAATAAGAGCTTTTATGCTGCAGAATACAGGGAAATGTGTGGGATTTATATCTGAGATTTGGGAAATAAAACCTCCTTTATGTACTTCGTTAAACCCTATGTTTTTACACAATCACCTTCTCTGGGCGCTATCGCTGCCACCCACAGGTTTCCAAGCCCAAAACAAAACAAAAATCCCTTCCAAAAACCTTTGCAGAACCCAAGCAGACTTCTTTTTTTAATTTAGTAAATGCCAAACATTTTGGCCAGAGCTAATCTGGGGGGGTCAGGTGCTCCAATAATGCAGGTTTTCAGTAGGGCTGCTGAGTGTGCAGTCATTAGAGCTATGACATTTCATACCAGCTGAGAAGGTCGGCAGGGCCATGACCTTTGGTGACACGTGTTGATCTGTTTTTTAGTCTTCCTTCATGGACATGCCCTAAATTTTGTCCCTTTTTTTTTCACGTGAGGTGCTTTTCATTATTATTTATTGCTTTAGTGACTCAGAATACTCAAAAAGCTGTATGGAAGATTCAGAGGGATTGAGATTGTGGCTTTTTATTTCTTTGATTGCAATAGAGCTCTTGTCTCTTAGCTAAACCTAACTTTAGGGGTATTTGCAGCCTTCAGAGTAGCTGGTTAAGCATGTACTGTTAGTACAAGCAGTATTTATCTAATAGGGTAATTAACTGCATGGGTATGTGCAGGTTATGGGCAAGATGTCATGCGTCAAGGTTCTTTGCTTTTGGTTATCTGCAGTCAACCAATCCCTGGTGGCACGCTTCTTTCAGGTGCTTTTATAAAATGCTGGGTTCACTGAGCTCTGAATCTCATCTGTGACCATTAGATATTACCACAGTCATTTACTCAATATTTACTCTGAAAATGGTATCTCGAGCCATTGTAAATTGGGACATCAGTGTTGATATTGTGGCTGCTCACCAGTGTCTGGATTCAGAGTGTTATTGGTTGTGGTGCTTTCTTCCCTAAGCTGAAATCAGAGGCTGTTGAGCGCTGTGAGCAGAAACAGGACCTGTAGGAGTTAGTTTGAGGGCTGTCAACTATCAAATTGTATCTCGCATCCAGTGTTTACATCCATGTTTTTTATCCTAGGGAGTATAAAGCCTTTCTGCTTTTAAATATTTGGAAATAAGCCTACCCCAGTGTGTACAAAGGAGCCATTCTCTTTCTGTGTACCCGGGCTATGAAGGCCTTTGATGATAGCCAACGTTTCAAAAGGGCTCTGACCGCACACATAGGTTGAAGGGTTACTTTGTGAACTGAATAATTAGTTTAGACATATATTTGATAAATAGCAAGCTCTCCCTTGACCTTCCCTTGCCCAAGCTGTGTGTTATCGTTCTGCTGGGTAGTTAATTTAGTCTCTTCCCCATGTGCAGTGCCTCGATGCTGTCCTTGGAGCGCCCATTCAGAGCCCTCGCTTGGCGCGCAGTAGCAATGTGTTTCAGTTCTTTCAATTTAGGTCAAATTTCAAAGGACTAATTTAAGCTTTCCACGAGGGACAGCCTAATTCTGTGTCCTGTGAAAAACACAGCAGGTCAAAACAGCCTTAAATGTGCATTTGGGAGGTTCCTAGGAGCAGCAAGTGAAGGAGAGAGACCTTTAATGGGTGGTGTGTGCTTATGGTGGGCTATGAAGTAAGTAACTAGTTGTCATTTGGGTTTTAACTTGGTCACAGCTATTTGCTGACACAAAACAACACAAAAACATAGCCACATTCAGTGCAGTACCCAAAGCGGTACCTTCATTTTGGTAAATATGTTGCATAGTGTGAGGACTATAACATCAATTTTGGTGTCAGTGTTGCATATAGGAGGAATATAACCTTAATTTTGATGACAATGTTGCATAATATGAGCACCATGCCTTTGTTTTCTGTAAAACTGCTGCATAATACGGGCAATTTGCCTTCATTTTCATAAAACTGAGGGCAGTGCTTAAAGGTTAGCATCACCTGTGGTCATAGTGGTTAGCTCAGTCCACTTGGACATCCTTTGTTAGCCACTGCAACATGCCTGCATCAGGATGTGGGGTCTTGTGAGGTTCTTCTCGGGCTCCCAGGCAGTGGGCAGGACCGGGATACAGAAGATACCAGTGGTGGGATGTCCCCTGTCCTATGCAGAGTAGCGTGTTCCCCATTCTGGGTTGCCTTCATGGGTCCTCTCCATGCTGATGCCACCCTGCTGTGAGGGACCCCACATGGTGGTCACCTTCCTCAGATGGTGGTGAAGCATCAGGATGCTCTTCTGATTTGGCTGGAAAAATAAAGCAAGAGGTTCACTCAGGGTTCCCTTATTGGTGTTTTGGTGTCTTTTTTACAAAAGCAGAGGCTTTGATATCTGCAAGTTCTGAGTAACAGTTCAAACTGATTAGTTAAATCAGAGTTTAGGTTTTGGGTTTATTTAAGGCAATTATCACAGCCTATTATGGAGGAATGTGACATCCCCACAGCTTCGGGTGAGGGTTGGATGCCCTTTCGGGGATCTGGTTCAGTAAGTTATTTGGCCTGGTACAGGAATTCTGGGGAACTGTGCAAACAGCCAGATTAAATCAGTCTTAATGTGCCCATTCTGCACTGGAAATCTGCAGCCCTTCAGCAGGGGCATGGTCTTGAGCTGCAAACTAATTGGGCATGGGTAGGGTTGTTATTTACAGGCTGTGTTGGTGAGACGCTGGGAGCTGGTAATGTGTCAGCATGGCAAGTGTTTCACAAAGTAGCACAAATAATTGCACATTTGGGGCTTATCTGCCATTTTTGCTTTCTTTTTAAACCACTTGTCTAGATAAAACCCCAACCCAGTGACCAGCTCCAATGCGTGTGTAGTTTTGTAGCTTTAAAATAGCTCTTACTGGGCAGAGAACTTGCACCAAACTTCAGGCCATAGTAACGTACTTTACAGGGAAGTCACCAGTTTTCAAGTTACCTTTGAAAGCAGAATTTCCAGTGAAAATGCTGACATTTCCAGTTCTTCAAGGCTGTGTATTTGAGAGAGGAGGGACTATTGTGGTGTTTTAATAATAACCATAGCATAGCTCTTAATGAGCATATTTCTATATCCAACTGCCCGACTTCAGTAGAAATGATCACTTGGCTTTAAATACATAGAGTCAAAGCTTAGTATTTTCTTAGAGTGAATATTTACTTCAGGAACAGATGGGGATGTGAGAAAAAGATTTAACTTTCCCTTCCTCTATCATTAATAGAG